GAAAATCGACCATATGTTAAAAGCGTTGCAGAGAAATTATCAAAGGAAATTTGGAAGTTTCAAGTTTATGTAGATCCAGAGAAACTAAAGGTGAAAAATTTAGGCAGTTTAATATCCTCTTTATTGAAGCAGTGCAAGATGATGAAAATGTTGAATCGTTATCTTAGAATCACAATTATCTCAAACAGCTTTCATAAAATTATGAGCGATGTTTATTTATAGGATCATACTATAGATTCTATTAATACTCTTTTTTTAATATATCACAATGTGTAATTATTTATCAATTACATAAAAATTACATCATTAGTTATTTAATTAACCAAAAAAATTAAATCTTTATTAATAAAAATTTAATTCTTAACCAAAAAATTTATATATAATAATATAAACTAAGCAACGTGCATTAAAGCTAGTATTAGAAAAAATGTAAAATAAATTTATATTTTCAACTATATAACACGTTGCTTAAAGCTAGTATTAGAAAAAATGTAAAATAAATTTATATTTTCAACTATATTAATTATATTTTTTTAATTTGTATGAAAATGAAAACAAACTTATTTTTATGGAATTGGGAGAGTATAAAAAGTAGTGAAATAATAAATGAAAGCATTAATTTATTATAAAGGTTAGTTGGATTATAGAAAGCTGTAAAATAATAAAAACATTAAAATTTCAGTCAATATATTGCCAGCAGTCTCTTCTACAAGTCATACCATTTTCCAATCAATTAATGACAACTCATTCCATAATCACAAAAGCTGTCGAAATGACCCAATCAGAAAGCATAACTTGTGGTCCTTCCAACACACGATTCCACCAAATAAATACCCATTTTGTAAAGCGTTAAAATTTACTGTTCACTGACACCCACCCCTCTTCTCACGTCTTCTGCGTTTTGCCACCCTCTACAGGCAATTGCCTCGCACTGTAATGTGTGTAATTTTGAATACATATACCACATACATGCATACATATATAAATAATGTAAAAATGTGTATATATATATTCTAAATGCATAAAGTTATGTTTCTTTCATTGTGACGCCTGATTGCAGTCAACCGGAATTTTATACTGGTAATTTTCTCTCTTTCTCGATCAGAATTTTGCCATTTTTCTCGATTTTAATAGAGTCTCAGTGAGAGGGGTTTCTCTGATTTTAATTTTTTCATGGTTTTTGTGCACTTGTTATACTTGTGTTGTTATGTTGTTCATGAATTTTGTTTCGTGTTGATTATTACTAAGTCTTTTTTATTTTCTAAATGTGAAGTTTTCATGGGTTTTTTCTACTCGTTTGCTTCATACTTATGTTGGGTACTTGGGGTTCACGTTCTCCACATTGATTAGTCATGGGTATGGTATAAATGGAGGATTGGGTTTTCGCTTATGCCTTGCTTGCTGCAGAAGTCTTTTAATGATTAGGAATGGGTTTTGGAGAAATGATAATATTGAAATAAAAAATTTGAGTTAGAGGCAATTAAAATCAAATGCCGTTACAGTTCCCTTTTTTTTTTGGAATTGCAGTTGCAGATTTTTTATTCATCTTTTATAACTAATAATCGATTGCATAGAGATCTATTTGGTATCATGTTACAATACCTAATAGTGAATATTATCTTTTGAAAATCTAGATGTAGCCTTGATTTGCAACCAATATTAACCATAATTTCAAAACTCTTTAATTCTCGTACACATTTTCAACCACACATTTACACAATAAAATATTTTGCACGTAAATCCAAAAATTTTTCAAATTTTTTAACTACACATTCTCTAAAAAAATCACTATTCAAAAATATACTTTCTCAAAATATTGGCCATCAAACATGAGCTTAATAGTATTTGTATTTTCATTAGCAGGTGGAGTGTAGTGTATTGCACACTACAAGAAATGGTTTACATATTTCATTATGAATATGTAAGTTGCAACTAAAAGAAAGATAAAGAATACAAAAAGATGTTTAAGTTTTTTTTGACTTGGTATTTGTGCACAAATCCAATAATAAATATAACAAGCTAACTTTTTTTCCCAATAAATTTAGGGTTATGTGAATCCTTTTTTACCACTTTGTTAATTTAATGCATCATCAGGAAAAAGATTCAATGATAAGATAATTCGCAACCGTGTCATACCATGTTATTTTTTGGTCTACATCTTTTTGCGTTGCTCTTTTGCATATGAGCTAGGTAAGTCATACCCCAACTATCTAAGCCTTCTAAGGTGTATTTCCTTAAATATATGTTAACTGATGCTACTTCAATTTGTTGTCGTATATCCTCATTTCTTATTTTATTTGTATAAGATGACCACACATCCATCTTAGAATCCTCATTTATGCAACGGTTTTTTATGAACATTTTGTCCTTTAACGTAAACAAAGTGTAACATATATTTTGTGCATCTATATCTCTACCTATTTTGTCTTTTTGAACCAACACCAAATCCTTGTATGTCGAACCGAAGTTTGTTGCTTAAGCATATTCTTCTCATGTGCATGTTTATCTCCTTCTGTAAGTAGTTTTTGTGCTTCATGCTTTTTTCAGGTCATTAAATGACCATATCTCTGATAGGCTTGCTTGCTGGAAATGAAATAAATACATATAATGTGTTCCTTTTTGTTTTAATCCCTTTTTGTACACAAATAGCATCAGTGTATCTCGTCTTACATTTTAATCATATTAATATTTTCTCAATGTGATTACATATTTTTAATTAATGCGCTGCTATTTGTTGAAAAACATAAAGCTGTGGATATACACTTCATAGTTGACAAGATTTATTTCAGTACTAATTTATATAGCATATATGCTTGTGATCCATTCAGTTTCTTTGTTTATGTGATGTTCATTTGATGTACATTTTGTCCTTTAACAGAAGCACATTGTAACATATACTTTGCTGCATCTATATCTCTATCAATTTAGTCTTTTTGGAACAACACTAAAACCTTGTAATTTAAATAGAAGTTCGTTTCTTAAGCATTTTTCGTTTTAATGTCCGTGTTTATCTCAGTCGCAACGGAGTTTTTGTGTATCATGCTTTCTTCAAGTCACTAAATGGGCATATATCTAATAGGCCTGCTTAATTGGATATGATATAAATACATACATCATTTTCTTTTCTTTTATCCTTCTTTAAATGGGATTCTTATTAAATAGCATAAGTGGATCTTGTCCTATGATGCGCCGACACAAATACGTATGTCCAACATGCTGACACGCTATTTTTTGAAAAATATTGACACGATATGTTGTTGACGTGTCAATTAAATTCTTTAAAATTCTTCGTTTATATAGTATAAATTTAGTTTTTATACTTATTATTTTTTCTTGTTTAAAAGATTTGAAATCATGATAGAGCATTCGAGGAGTTTTGATAACAGATACGTATCGGATGTGAATACATCACCCTAATTGAAGTGTCCGTGCAACACAGATCTTGTTTGACATTTTAATCATTTTTAATAGTTTTGCAACGTGATTACATGTTTTGATAAATGTACTTTTGTTTGTTACCTGTACATTGTAAAGCTGTGGACACTTCACGGTTGGCAGGGTTTGGTTCAGTACTAATCTATATAGCATATATGCTTGTGGACTGTTTGGTTTTTTGTAGCTGCATTGTGCATTGTTTGTCTAGCATGAGATGTTTGTGTATTCTTTGAATCTTGTGGTAGATTGAGTAGAGATAGTTGGGTTTCTAGAAAAATATAATTTATTAAGATAAAATTGAGTTTGATTTGTCAAACCATTTGATTTTATGGCATTTTAATGGTATTCGTTTTGCAAGAGAGAGGCATCTTTCTTGCATTCCTGAAGAATGATAGTTTTTAGCAATAGACCTTGTATGAACTCTTTTTTTGTTTTTTATATTTGCGAGAATATATTTACCATTTTTTCTCTAGTTATGTTGTATAATAGTACTTCTGATTCCCTTTTTTGCAACCTTTAGTTCTACCCTATATCTCACTAGTGTGACAAACTATAACTTCCAATTTGAAGTGCTGGACCTCTGAATTAGCTACTGAATTATCATCCAACATCTGGATATCTGATGGCACCGAATCCAAGGGTTTTAAAGGCCTTCAGTGCGATGAACAACTTGGGCATTGCTACAGAAAGAGTGAAACCGGTCCTTAAGAGACTTCTGCTATTGTACGATAAAAACTGGGAACTTATTGAGGAAGGAAATTATCGTGCTCTTGCTGATGCTATATTCGATGATGCAGATGATGAGGTTCTTATCCTTGGATGCTTTTGAACTTTTTCTTAACATGTGCGTTTAGCATTTATATTTCTTGGCAGGTACCCCCTAGAGGACATGGTATGTAGTATGTACCTAATAAATACTTATCGCTATTTAACAAAACAAATGTAACTATTGATAAACAGTTTGAAAATCCTAGAAATTGCTAGGAGAGTCACCACTGCTGATTCTATGCACATCTTTGTTCAGAAGACACCTTTCTTTTATGATCCATTAATTCTTTTTCTGCTCATTTTTAGCTCTTGTTTTTGGTGCATTTATATTCTCATCAGTCAATTTTCTCGGACATGGGAGAACCCTGCTGCTTTTACCTTTATTCATGTCAGAAGCTCTTGCTTCTTTGCCCTTGGGCTTGAAAATAAAATCAACCCAATTTAATTTTACAGTATGTTCAGTCTTGTAAATCTTAGTAATTTTAATCCCCTGTTCGAGTCTTTTTTAAAACTCATTTTTTCCTTAAACTCATTTTCAACCATACATTCTCCAAATAAAATAATTCTATGCGTAATCCAAAACGTTTCCCTACCTTTCAAGTTTTAACCACACATTCTCCAAAAAAATAACTTTTTACAAAATCTACTCTAAAAAAAATGGTGCTCAAACAGGGGCTTATTAAATGTCTTGAAACACTTTAGTCTCTTTTTCAACCATATATTCAGCTTGGTGTATCACGCTTAGAAGAAGAAAGAAGAGAAAAGGAGAAAGAGAGTAATAACCGTGGTTTTTGCAATAACTGTAAAATGAAAACTTTTTACCTAACATGTGCTAATTGCTAACATGGTTGTGTTATTGATGAATTGTGCTAGCTAACAAGTGAGAAGAATGGTGATCCTGTACCTCCATCTGAGAAACTACATGGAAAACGGCCAAAAGTAACATCCACCAAGGACAATGGCATTAAAAATTTAGAACTAGAAGGGGATAAAATCCCTCAAAGTTCTAACAGAACAAGATTAGTAGATGTTCATCATGCACCAGTTCAGAATGAAGGTAAGTGTCCTGTTCAAGTAGTCCTAGCTCCAGTAGAGGAAATTTTCGCTACTCAAGGAGTATCAGTGTGCAGTACACTAACCGTGTATTGGGTGACCCTGGTTTAGGTCTTCATGGAAGAGAAACAATTCGTGATTGCAACTTCGATAATGTAATCAACACTAGTAAGAAGCAGCGAATTAATTGCTCTCCTCAATTTTCTCTGCCTGCTTCAAATGTTGGTCCAGGTATGCTTGCATGTCAAATACTGTTATAATAAGGTCTCTCTCCCTCTCAAGTGCACTTTACATTGTAGGAATTTTGTGGAAATGTATTGGATTGACAACTTGCCTTTTCAAAGATGCAGTTCTTTATTTTTATTTATTTATTATTTTTGCCACCATATTATGTCATTTGATGGATACATGATGCTAATTACTGAATATTATATGAAAAATGTTATGGCTATCCAGTCTCCTTTCAATTGAACATTGTGAATGAAACAGTCTTTGAATGCTGATGATTATAATAGGAAGCTGGTTTTTTAGTTACTTTTTAGTTTTTGTTTTTTTTGATAACCGTCGATGTCCGGGCCAGCTTGCACGCACCTCGACTAATTCCACGGGGCCCTGAAGTTTACGGCAGGGTACTCACCTCAGTAACCCTAAGGGGACTCAAACCGGTGACCATTGGGGAGCAAACCCAAGGCCTAACGAATTGAGCAACCCATCAGGGTTATTTTTTAGTTACTTTTTAGTGTACTATATTAAATAAAAAATGGAAAGTGCACTATAATTCTTATTATATGCTTTCCTATCATAGGAAGAATTCAAAAGAATTTAGGCCAGGTTTAAGTAGAGAAGAAAAATATTTTCTTGCATCCTGTCCAAGAGTTGAAAGGATAAGGATCAAAAGTTCATCTCAACATACAAGTATCCTGGAACTTAATAATCAGTAGTATGAGTCAATTTTATCAAGAACGTATTTTACTGCAATCATAACATCATAATCAATCTTCTTGGATGTCATATCATTAATGAGGGTTTAACTCTTTCAGGTTTGGTCGAAACAGTTCTGTTTCGGGAAAAGACAGAGAAAAATGAAGGTTCAGGTTCAGCACATGATTATAGCACAACCTTCCAAACGATTCATGATATAGCTTCATCAACTTGTGGACGAGTGATAGTTTCTATAAAATGTCATCGCACCCTATTGCAACATAATTTTCACATTCCAAATATAAATGATGTCCTAAAATTTATGGAAACAAAATATCCGATATCAGACAACATTTTTGGGCCCCAATTTTCCCTGGTAAAGTATTTGAAGAAAATATGTGAGGGTTATGTAGAATTCGAAGATATTTTGGCCGACAGATCTCTATCAAGCAATTTACCTTACAATGACATTCACCAAACCTCGGCCCCCAAGAGAGATTATCTCAGAATAGATTATCCAGCAAGGGATATGGAGAAAAAGGTTGTAAACTATTCTGGATCATCAGATTCAGTTGCTCTAGTGGTCGCTCAACGACAGCCCGTGAACAAAATTAGTGGAAAACGGGCTGTGGGTAATAGAATCAGTGACATAACAAATGGAACAGAAAAAGTGTCTATATCACTACTGGATGAAATAGGTGGCGAGGATCTACCAAAGTTTACCTATGTCCCAGAAAATATTATCTATCAATCTGCATACGTGCATATCTCGTTGGCCCGAATTGCGGATGAGGATTGCTGCTCAAGTTGTACCGGGGACTGTCTTTCGTCCTCGGTACCTTGTGCTTGTGCTCGTGATACAAGAGGAGAATTTGCTTATACTCCAGAAGGGCTATTAACTGAAGAATTTTTAAGATCTTGTATTTCCATGAAACAGAAACCTCAAGAGCACTATCAATTCTTCTGCCAGGATTGTCCTTTAGAGAGGGCCAAGAATGCATATAGTCCTGAGAAATGCAAGGGCCATTTAGAAAAGAAGTTCATCAAAGAATGCTGGAGGAAATGTGGCTGCAACATGAAATGTGGAAATCGAGTTGTTCAGCGAGGTATAACGAGGAAATTACAGGTTAGTGGATTATTGAAAATGCTTTCTTCCAAGTTTAATGAAAATTTTCAGATTTCCTCGTGTAATTAGAGGTCTTTATTAGATACCACAGGAAGTTTACGTAACTCCTGTTGTAACTCATTCTGTCGTGATGCTGCAGGATAATAGCATTACATACCTATTAAATTTAACTCTTGTTGTAGGTTTTCATGACCAACCAGAGTAAAGGCTGGGGTCTCCGAACACTTGAAAAGTTACCAAAAGGTGCCTTTGTTTGTGAATATGCTGGTGAAGTTTTGACAAACATGGAATTATATGAAAGGAATAATAGTAGCACTGGAAAATACAAGCACACATATCCAGTGCTACTTGATTCAGATTGGTGTTCAGAAAAAATTTTGAACGATGAAGATGCACTATGCCTGGATGCAACATACTACGGAAATGTCTCGAGATTTATAAATCATCGGTGCGTTCTTTATATACATTTCTTGTTTCCTAGAATTAAATATTTAACTGCTTTTTTCCGAACACTAGTAAACCACTTCAATCTTCCTTTCCACTGGGACATCATCGTTAGCCTTAGAACCTAATTTAACATTTGTCACCGACCTAAAAGTTAAATTATCAACTTACAAGATACTAAGGGGATGCCTATTAGAAAGAAGGCACTGTTGCCTTGCCGTACCTCAGGGGCCTTCTGTTGAATGTGTGGAGTTAATTAGACTGTTCACCTCTCTCGGCAGCAGATCGACCTAATATTTCCTCTCTATATAAATGAGGATACTGGTGGCTAGCAGTTTTTCTGTACAGAGAAAACAGAGGCACGAGTCAGCTATAATCTTCTTCATTATAGTGATCACATGTTTGAAATACTTGTATAGGGACCATTTTGAATTTCTTTATTTTCTTACGCTATTTTGCATATATATTCGTGTACATGCTTTGTAAGTTTCTCTTTTACCTGATACAATACCCTTTTGGTCAACAAAAAATGCTGTGGCATCTGTTATAGCTTAAAAATATTTGTAAATGAACATTTTCATTTCTTAAAAAAATTAATTTATCATTTCGTACTCTTTTTACATCTGGAGACAGCAATATCATGTCTCAAAACAAACTTCCTTCTTGGTTTGGTTTGAATTCTGAAATTTTCTAAGCTTACGAAGTATTTAGATTAATTCCTTGTTTCAAATTGTTGAGCACCATTTTCTTAACTTAATTATGTGAAATTTAATATTGTTGTACTGATATTTATATCCTTTTGCTTTTGCTTTTGCTTTTCTCCTTGCTGCCAGGTGCTTTGACTCAAATTTGCTTGAGGTCCCAGTCCAGGTGGAAACCCCTGATCGCCACTATTATCATGTACAACAACTATCTTCATTGACCTTGTCACCATATTTCATTTCCTTCTTAAGTAATAGTTTCCGTAAGAGAGAGAATCTGAAAGCTTCTATCCTTGTGCAGATTGCTTTCTTCACTAAAAGAGAAGTGGATGCCTACGATGAGCTTACTTGGGTAAGTGGTTTTAAAAAGTTCCTACTCCAACATTTCATTTTTGCATGCAAGATGGTTTATAAGTTATAATATGGGGCGTAAATGGAGGATTGTGAGGATTAAGAAAGAAAAAAGTGAAAATCTTATTCACTGCTAAAAATGATCAATCCCTCATTTTTTTCTCATTATAAATTCTTCTATTATGCATGTTTTTTGAGCTAGACTAGATGCCCTTTAAGTTTACCATATACTTGATTACCTATCCATCTCACTTTATTAAGGGCATGTATATTTCACGCTACTGTATTGTGCAATACAATTGACAAGATTTTAACTTATTTTCTTCTTTAATCGTATCCATTGTGGTATAACTGAACATACCAAATATGTCACGAGTGTTTATTAGTTCATTTATCTGCTTAACCATGACATCATGATTTATTCAATTTCTCTTTGTTTTGTCTTCTTTGATGAGGAATATGAGCGACTCTTTCTGCCTTGTCAAGAACGAGAAATTGTTTTGCCATTTGTAATATGAACTCTACATGAAGGATTCTAAAACTATAGTTTACCATGTTACTGCTGTGGTTATTTTATGTTATCTGGGAAAAAAAAAAAAAAACCCCACTAGTCTTCCATTTTAGGACGTGTTGGGATATGTTGTCACACAATAGTCATGTCCAGTTGAAATTACTTTTAATCAGTTGAAAGGCATTGGAAGTTGAAGTGCTAAAAGTTCAACTCTTTTAACTCGATCATGTGATCTAATTTCCAGGATTATGGGATTGACTTCGAGGATCATAACCATCCTATTAAAGCATTTCAGTGTAGCTGTGGAAGTGAAAATTGCAGGGACAATGGGAAAAAAATAGTAACCTCTATGTTCTGAAACAGTTCTCTGTTTTGTTTCTTTACAAGAAAATTTCAGGAATGGTCAATAGATTGAAGGGACAACTGGTGGACTCACAGAGGCAGAAAATGATATATTCGGCATGTTGGACACAGACAGCCGAAGTGGCTTGTTGTGGTTGCGAAGGATCTAGTGGCTTTAAAATCTTCCAGTAGTTATAGCAATGAAATGGAGAGATTAATGAAAATCAGTTCAAATATATTAGGTACAAAACTTTGTTGTTTCTTCATAACTGGATAATTTGTGTGGATTGTAATGGCTGTTAGAATCCAGTTGTTTTGAACTTAAGAAAATAGTCGCTTTGAGGATTCCAATAGCTACAACAATGGATTGAACAACACAATTCATATAGCTAAAGTCAAATATATTAAAAACAAGACTTAGCTTATTATTGTTTGTATATTTTTGGTCTTAAGAGTTAATTTCTATTATTGCTTGTTAGAGATGCATTAAAACTGTAAACATTAATCATGTTTTGTGGAGAATAATTTTGGGGCCTTGAAATTTTTGAAGAGGCATTTTTGAAAATAATATAGTTTTTTTAATTAAATAAATAATAGGGAAAATTTCATATTTAAGAGGTTAACTATAACCCATTTCAAAACTAAAAAAATTAAATTTTATTAATGAAATAATTAATTAAATATATTAAAGTGACAATTCTATACAATTTAGTCACAAATTATTTAATTAATTGATCAAAAATTATTTTTCAATCACAAATAAGCCCCTGTTTGGACCATATTATTTTTTCATTCACATTCTTCTACTCATTTTCAACCACACATTCTTCAATAAAATAATATTTTCCATCACATCAATAGCTTTTCCTTCTTTTTCCACCACATATTCTCCATCACATCACTTTAAAAAAATGCATTCTTTCATTTGAATGTGTACCAAACGGGCTCTAAAATTTTTATAGGTGACAAATTATTTTAAGTTCAGAAATCAAGACAATTTATTCGCCGTTCACAAATCAAAAAATTTATAGTTCATAATTTATTCGTCGGTCACAAATTAAAAAAAATATAGTTCACAATTTATTTATCGATTACAAATCAGTATGTCACAACATGTTTAACGATCACAAATTATCAAATTAATTAGCCATAAGTTATTTCTTGATCACAACTTAATAAGTTGTGAGTCACAATCATATTTTTTAAGTTACGTATTATTTATTGGTCATAATCAATCCAATAATTGGCCACAAACACTCTCACCCCATCACATCACCGCCACAACCATCACTAACATCACCACCGCTACACTAGACTGTCAACATCACCACCACACACCATCTGAACCCACCACAACAACCACGTCACTGCTACTGCCACCACTGCCATGCTAAACCGCCCACTTCACCGCCACCACCACCACACACAACTCACTACAACAATCGCATCACCACCACAGCAACCACGACACCACCACCAGAGCCACGAACCACCGCACCCACAACACAAAACACCACATCACCGTTGCACCCAACCATCGCATCTACAACCCCCAACCACCACATACAACAATACAACCACCATAATCGCAAAACCAACACACCATCACCACCGCTGCACCATAGTACCACCATCAAACCAGCAATCACGAAGCTAAATACAAAGTCTTGGTAGTAGGGCTAAAGATGGCAAAATAAATGAAGATATCCAAAATAATCGTTGACGGTGACTCCCAACCCATTGTCAACCAAGTTAATGAGTCCTTCTAAAAAAAAATAGGACAGAATGATGTTATATCGCCATAAAAACAAATGAACAATTTCCATGGAGGTAAACACCAAGCCCACTTGGATGTACGAAATCATAGATTACATTAATGAAGGGAAAACTTTGGCAAATTTAGTGAGTGCTTGAAAGGATCAAGATGATCCGGTACACCTTTATAGACATAATTCTCTACAAAATCTGATATGAGACCCCTGCTACTAATATGCCTAAGCGAAGAATAAATGCACTATACCCTGCAAGAGGTGCACAAAGGAAAGTATGGCAACCACACTGATGATAGTCCCCAGCCTACAAGATCTTATGGAAATGATACCCCTAGCATAAATTGAAACTAGATGCATTGGATTATGTTAGAAAGTACGACAAATGCCGACTGTCACGCATTTTCTATAACGTGATTTGTACCTCAAGTGTACGGTGTCAAGTTCTGTAATATAATAATGGAGTTAGAGTGTCGAACCCACAAGGATTGTAATTCAAATTTCTATTAAGTATTATAATTATATAGCCTCTATTTTATCTAAATGAATGGATTTTATAATCAATGTTTTTAAACTAATATGGTGACGAATTCAACAAATAAATGCAAGCTAGAAGAATAATCAATTGAGAAAGCCTGGGGTTATGATTTCACTTAACTATCAAATGTGATTCTCAATTATATAATTATTTCTAATAAGTTTTCCAAAATTTATAAGCAAGTACACTAATATAATTTTACTCCCTCTCTCGAGTGTCGAGTAAAAACTATTCCTATATTTCAATTTCAATATCTCTGTTCCGAATTAAAATATAAAATTTATCGAGTTCGTGATTCTTAAATGGAATATGTTTCAAAGGAATTATACTTTCTCTCGAAACCTATAATTTCCTTGGTTATGTTATTCTTATGATCATGCATAAACTCTCTTCTCTCAAGTGCCGCAATTGATTAGCATCAAATCATTCAATTAGTAGCTAATTAATTGAAAGCATTAAAATCATAACACAAATAAACACATGCGAAAACTTTAATAGAAATAACTGAAATTAATCAATACATATTCTCAAGTTTTTGGCTACAATGAAACCCTAGATAATGAATTTAGCTCATGATTCAATCTATGAAAATACTAAAATTCATATAAAAGGACATAGGGAATAGAATAGAAAAACTAGGATGTAAATCTTCAATTTCTTCTCTTGTTCTTGTTTGTCTTGTTCTTGAATCTCTTGATGTTTTTCCTCATTGCCTTCTTGAAAAATTGTGTTGAATTTCCCCTTACCTCTTGAACCTTTCCCTCCAGAATTAGGTCTTAAATGTTGTATTTATAGTATTTTGAAGTCTTAAAAGGGTTGGAGTCGTGTTAGGCCAAGAAAAGAATTCCAAAAAAATCAAAACCCTTTTTTGGCCGCCCAGTTGCTCTTGAATTTAAGCACTACGTGTCTTTCAGTATGTTTATCATAACCCTTTTTCCCAATATCCGATTGAGGCAATTCAAAATGCGTTGGAAAGATACCTCAAAGGGCTACAAGTTTTCTTCAGATATAATTTTCCAATTCGAATGTTTACTATGTCAAAAATGAGTCTCAATATGAGACCGAAAAACTTGAGCATAACTTTTTCGGTTGAAAATTGATGTGTGATCATACTTTGCCTATATTTCATCCATTTGACTTCTTTCTTCATCCAATTGACTCCAAGCACTCTTGAATCTTCATTGTGAGGTCTGACATAACTTTTGAGTATATAGACTTTAGTCCTCGAACTTTGGATCTCTTACAATTTAGCAATCTTCTCCAATTTTGCCAACTTTTGCTTATTTCCTTCAATTTAATCAACATATATCACAACATCAAAATACACATTAAAATGCTCTAAAACTCATAGAAATTAGTTAAATATCATGTTTAGATGATGTCTAAAGTATAAGTGAAATACACTCATCAAATACCCCCCAAATTAATACTTTGCTAGTCCTCAAGTAAATACTAAAAAAAAAAAAAAACCTAACACACACACACAAAAAAACAAATTCAAGTAAAGAAAACACATAAACAAAATCAATTAGATAGTTTGCCTTTGTAGCTCATGATTGAAAACATAATATCAATTATGAACTACATCAAATATATAATGCAAAAGCTAAATTCTCACATATTCAATGTAAAATAAATGTTTGTATGAAGAGTTAAGTACAACGATATACAATGATAAGTTGATCCAATTCCTGACCTTAAAAGTCAAATATTTCCTTACTTCGCTCGTGGAATTCATACACCCCTAAACTTGTTTTCTTTTTACTTCCCAATGTGTATTCTAAAGTTGATTTGCAATACTAATTTCTTACACCTCTTAAGTTTGGTTAGATTTAACTAATTGTACTTCAACATATCAACAAATTAGGATTCTCCTTATTTTTGACTGCTTCAACTCCCAAGAATCAATCAAGTTATTAACCCATTATCAAAGGTCTAATCCTCTAAAACAAGTGTTTGATGCTTAATCAAGGCATGTGCGGACGTCTCTACATTAAGCTTTCTAAATGACCCATATAGCGAGTTTTAGGTCGATGACTCACAAATTAGATGACCCTTACAGACTTACTCACTCGAGTCATAAAATCTACGAAGAAATGTCTTACAATGAGATTGTTATAGTTGTCCTCATTGGGATCTTTTAGAATAGCTTCACAACAAGGTACCTTTTTCCTTTTTATGCAGTGATTAGTGCAATGTCTCTTATAAAACACACATTGTCAAAAATTTACCCCTGACTTAAGGTTTTTACCCAATTTTCATCATATTAGCCTCAGACAGTCCACACAAACTTTAGCATACATGAAATCTACGTTTATCTCCTAGTTTCCCTACAACATCTCAACCACCCAAACATCCTAAATTTAGTTTAAGGATATAATATTATTTAGTGGTTGTTTGGATTTAAAATCTAAGTTCTCTATTTCAACCTATAAAGAGGGATCAACCTATTCATGTACAATGCTACAATCAATTAGCGTGCATAGGTATCTCACATTCCGCATGAATACGCAATTTTTTTAAACTAAAACACATAACCTATTCGTGATCCATAAACTAACACATGTCCTCAATAATATACATATTTGCCGACAAGGTTATTTAACTCACACAAGCATGCAAAACAAAAATAAAAAAAAAATATATTTTATTTTTATTTTTATTTTCTTTAAACATGCACACAAATCACACAAAATAACAAAAAATAAA